TTTTAACTAACTTCCAGACCAGCTCACAATACAAATACCCAAACCACATAAGAGCATTCTATCCCCACACGTGGTTTTCCATCAGTTGCCACTGGTCTAGGCTACAAGGTTTCACATGGCAAGCAAAGGCCGCCCTGCTTTCTTCTATACTTACTACTTGAGAAAGTAAGTCCCAGAAAACATCCCTCTCCACTCCCTCCCATACGCAGTCTCCCCATCTTGGCTCAGTCATCACTTCCTCCAAGGGATACCTTTCCCTCCCTGTCTCTTCTCCTGGGAGAGGTGCCTCAGCCCCGAGTTTCCCACTTTCAGAACTACACTAAGACAGTTACACACACACACACTCACACACACACACACAGACACAGACACACACACACACACTCATACTGTGCAGTCCTTGTTTTTCCCGTCTCAGCCCTGAAGCATTCTGCTCATGTCAGACATGTAGGCAACAGGGCTAATTGCCCCTTCTTTCCACATCATGCCTGTAACACTGAGAGGGGAATAGTGACTGTTACTTAAAAGAAAGGAGTTTTATGGATACTCATCACAGTGAATGTAATGAGTTAAGCTTATTGCAGTTATACATAAGAAAGGCTGTCGTGGGTTGTTTTCATTATTCCCTCTGTATGCTTTGATACAAGCATTTAAAAACATTTTTAAGTTTATATGCTTGTATATTTGTGTGTGTGTGTATTTGTTACATGTCTGTGAATGCCTGTGAAGGCCAGAAGAGAGTGTCAAAACCCTGGGAATGGTTGTGGGTCTCCTGATTCAGGTGCTAGGATCCAAACACAGGTTCTCTGGAAGAGCAGCAAGTGCTCTTAACTGTCAAGCTAGCTCTCCAGCACTTGTTACAAACCACTAAAAGTCTTAGCTACTACATAGCTGGGTATGGTGTTACATCCCTTTAATTTCAGCACTTGGGATGGATCTCTGTCAATTTGAAGCCAGCCTGATCTATGTAAACTAGTTTATTCTATATAGTGGGTTGTGAGTTCTGGTATAGCCAGGGTTACTTAATAAAGAAACCCATCCAAAACAAACAAAACAAAACAAACAGAAAAACAACAGCAGCAGCAGCAGCAACAACAACAAAAAACCAGATAAATAGCAGTCTGAAATAAGGCCATAATTTACAGAGTATATAATCCACCAGAAATTAAGCACGCTTCTCTATTTTTTAAAACAGTCAATTACTTCTACCTTTTTATGTTGTAAAAATGAATCAGGCGAGGGAGAGCCAAGAGAAAACTTTTACAAAGTGCTTAAGGACACTAATATTATACAACATTTGCATAGTGTCCTAAAATGTCGAGGTTGAAATGTCATGAGTCATTCTGGGTCTTGGTGTTGTGAGATGGTTCTAAGACAGACTTCATGGAAAGATGCCTGTGTTTTAAATCAGGGTGGCTTAGGGAGCATCTTGGAACTCAGTGACAGAGCAGCCCTGGGAGGGAAAGATTCTGTACACGAGGAAGCTCGGTACTCTGGGTCAGAGCTGGACCTGGTGCTGAAAGAGCTGGGTTCAAATACCAGGTCTAAGCTACGTTTCCATGGCTTTAAGCAGGTCGCCCCTCCGACTTAAGTGGCTCACCCACACAATAGGTAGGAGGTGGCAATAGCAAGTCATGGGGTGTTACGGGCATTAGGTAAGAACAGAAGGGCAGAGGCACTTCTTAAGGACAGCCCGGAGTGTCTCAGGGCTGCTGTCCCTTTATTCTCCATTCCAAGCTGGGAAGGCAGGTGGTTCGGTTGTTTCTCTGTTGTGACACTTATGAATGGTGACAAGAAGAGGGGAGTGTCATATTGTTTCATTGTCTTGGTTTCAATTCCTTCCAGCATGTGGCCTGATATGATTTAGGTATGGTTTATCCTCCAAACATTTGTCCCCATGCTGAACCTCCATTAAGAGGCAGAGCCTGATACGAGGCCATGGAAGCATCACTCTTAAAATGGGTTAATGTTTTCCCCCCAGGGCTCTGGTAGTTCTAGGGAGAGTATGTTCTCATATGGCATAGCTACCTAACATGCCTGTTTTTTTTCATTTCTCTACAGAATAATTTTAAGGCCAGTCTTCATATGAGACCAAGCGAATGAGGCTGCCTCATCTTGCACTTTTAGCTATCAAGTTGGTGAGATGAAAAACTGATTTTCCTACAAGCACAGGAATGGGCTAATATATAACTGATCATCATGTTACATCATTCCCAGTTTGAACACTTAGGAGAAATTAGCAGACTGTTTATACAACTGTTCTTGATACCAGTTAATATTATCAGTGCTTCATGGTAAGGCAGAGGAAGAAGACATCAAAGAGACTGACCATCAGAGGGAGACAGGGACCAAGCACGGTACTTTCCGGTGCACAGTCTTTCAGAAAGGGGCATGTCAACGCCATTTTGTGATATTTACAGAGAATTTTTCTATAAAAGATAAACATCACACAGAGCACTTTGCCTTGGGTTTCAAAGCAAGAAAAACAGTGATTTCAAAGGTTATGGTCTTTTCTTCACTAGATCAGCTCTTTTTCTTGGATAAATTAAAAACATTTGTTTTATGTATAGCATTACCAGAAACATATTAAATAGTACTATAATAGAATGATTTTGGTCTTTTTTTTTTTGGTTTCTTGAGACAGGGTTTCTCTGTGGCTTTGGAACCTGTCCTGGAACTAGCTCTGTAGACCAGGCTGGTCTGGAACTCACAGAGATCCACCTGCCTCTGCCTCCTGAGTGCTGGGATTAAAGGCGTGCGCCGTTTCCTGGGTGGTGGTAGTGCATGCACACCTGCCTTTAATCCCAGCACATGGGAGGAAGAGGCAGGCGATCTCTGTGAGTTCGAGATCGGCCTGGTCATACAAGAGCTAGTTCCAGGACAGGCTCCAAAGCTACAGAGAAACCCTGTCTCAAAAACCAAATGAATGATTTTATGTAAGTGGTCCTCCCTCCCTCCTTCCCTCCTTCCCTCCCTCCCTCCCTCCCTTCCTCCCTCCCTCCCCCCTCTCTTCCTTCCTTCCTCCTAGCAGAAGTGCCAGTGGAGGATTGTTTTCCTCTAGGCTGTAGATAGATTGTTAATTATTTTTCCTGAGAGAAAGACAAAAGCAGTAAATCTTCTGAACTAAAATCATCAGTAAACTGAGGTGAAGGTGAATGAGGTGAGGAGTTAAAAATCTTTTAATGGAAGGCTAATTTTGGGCCAGTGCTTTCCTTATCTATAAGTGAGGTAAAACCAGAGCATGCCTATTTTTTCCCATCTGAGCAGCTATAAATCAATAGCTTTGGGCATGTAGTAGTTCTATGTCCTTGGATATCTGGAAGTGTCTTAAATGGAATACTTTTTCTGGACCCTAAACACTGACCAAATGCCTAACAATTGCAGGAAGGTCAATCTCTATGTTTAGATTGAAGAAAAGAACAGAGACCTGGTAAAGGGAAGCAGGTTTCTTGACTGTGTGACTGTCTTCACAGATAGCTGGGGGATCTAATCAGTAAACCCCAAATGCATAGGGAAAATTGTGCCCAGAAAAAATGCTGCTGAACTGTGGCAGATAAATCCCAAATTTGTAACAAATGGGGATAAGCTACAGAGAAATCTACAGCAAGAAACAGTCACTTTATTCACAAGGCAATAATTTTAACATGCCTTGTATCCTGGTCTAATCCTCCAAACAAAACTCTTGGCTCTGATAGGTTGACCTTGTGGAATGAGACTGACTGATCTTATGGCTCGTAGCCCTTCCTTCCTTCCTTCCTTCCTTCCTTCCTTCCTTCCTTCCTTCCTTCCTTCCTTCCCTCCCTTCCTTTCTTCCCTCCCTCCCTCCCTCCCTCCCTCCCTCCCTCCCTCCCTCCCTCCCTTTCGTTCTTTCTTTCTAGTGCCTAAGAGTGAACNCCTTCCTTCCTTCCTTCCTTCCTTCCTTCCTTCCTTCCTTTTTTCTTTCTTAGAGAAAATCTCACTATGTAACCCTGGCTGACCTGGAATGCACTGTATAGACCAGGTTGGCCTCCAACTTATAGTGATCCTCTTGCTTCTGCCTCTGTCTCTCAAGTCTAAGATTAAAGGCACATACCACAGACAGTTTAAAATAGAAAAAAAGGAAAATTTCAGATAATAAAGCCCACCCCCCAAAAAACAAATTTCGTTTTTGAAAAATAACTTTTTCCAAGTGGTCAATGAGACAAATGTATTCCATGCCAACGTCATCTTCAATAAATTTATTGGATAAATGTCTCTTATCATTCATCACTGCTTTTTATGACTCAGCAGACATTTTCTCATTTCTCAGTACCATTTCCCAGACATGATGCCTCATTTAACCCAGCACCAAAGATCAATAGTCACAAGGATTTTTACTTTACATAATTATCAAATTTCAGCCTTTCTTGGTCCATTGCAGAAGAAGGCCGCTTTTTGGTTCCCAGCCTCCCAGCTAGCTTAGACCCAAAATAATCACACAGAAACTGTATTAATTAAATCACTGCTTGGCCCATTAGCTCTAGCTTCTTATTGGCTAACTCTTACATATTAGTTTAACCCCTTTCTATGAATCTGTGTATCACCATGTGGCAGTGACTTACTGGCAAAGTTTCAACATGTCTGACTCTTGCGGTGGCTCCATGGCTTCCCTCTGACTCTGCCCTTCTTTCTCCCAGCATTCCATTCGGTTTTTCCTGCCTAGCTCTGTTCCCCTATAGCCCTGCTATAGGCCCAAAGCAGTTTCCTTATTCATTAATGGTAATCACAGCATACAGAGGGGACACCCACATCAGTCCATATGGGGGAGGTAAATGGCATTATTGCCCTAAAATAAAGCCACATTATAGATACACAGTCAAGACTTTTTGTTTTGTTCTTTATATAATATATGAAAAACTTATATGTTTTATTATTTTATTTGCATTTTCAACATTAAAGTATAATTATATTTCCTTCCTTAAATTCTTCCCCTGCAATCCCCAAGGAGGCCAGAAAAGGGTGTCAGATCCCCTGGAACTGGAGTTACAGATAGTTGTGAGCTGGGGGTGCTGGAATTGTCTGGAAAAGTAGCCAGTGCTCTAAACCACTGAACCATCTCTCCAGCTTCTACTTTTTTTTGGTTATTTTTGTTTGTTTGAGATAGTGTTTCTCTGTGTAGCTTTGGAGCCTGTCCTGGAACTCACTGTGTATTGATCAGGGTGGCCTTGAACTCACAGAGATCTGCTTGCCTCTGTCTCCTCAGTAGCTCTCATTTACCTGGAGTTACTGATTAGGCTAGACTGGCTGGCCACCTGCCTCCAACTCCCTACTGCTGGGGTTACAAATAGGAATCATCATGTTTGGCTGTTTTTCTTTTTTACATTAGTTCCTCTGGTGATTCTCCTGCTGGCTTTGCAGCAGGCAGGGGAAAACAATCAGGGTGAGATAAGAAAGAAACTTGGCTCTCGGCCTGATTTTATTGTAATCAGCACTGGGCCAGAACTTCTAGAGTCTGGCCCAGATCATTTTACTTTAGCCGTATTTAAACATAACACAAGTTTGGAAAAAGTTTTAACAATTAACTTAGTCCCAAGTGCGCAACAATTTAAGACATGTTTACATTGAGGTTCCTTACAAAGTACAACTGGCTTCTTTCACAAATATGGCTACTGTTGACTCAGAGATAGTGCCCAAAATTTAGAGTCTAAGGAGTTTGACTGAGGTGAACATAACACCTGTGAGTGTCAGGTTTGACCTGACTGTAAGATGACTCAGATGTCACTTAGGCTGTTGTAAAGCACAAGTGACCTCACTCATAAGAATGGATTGATGGTCTAGAAGCAATGGTCAGGGTTTTTAAGGGGAAGGGATAAATAAAAACAAAAATCCTGGAAGATGTGGGCAGAGCTTGTCCCATAAGACAGCAAAGGATCACCAGGTTGTAAAACGACATCATCTTTAGCATTCCAGGAAGAGCAGCTGTGCACCTTATGCCGTTGGAGAAGTAAGCTGTGTGTTTAGCTTTCCTGGCTTCTCCAGTGCTTATCTGAGTGAAGGAGCAGAGCAAACTCCATCTTGAGAAAGAATTCCATTTTAGACAAGGCCTCTGTAGGGGATGAACTCAGTTCCAGCAAAGTCAAAAACAATTCCAAGAAAGGAACTGCCAGGGCCCAGGTCAGGACAACTCCCTGCAGGTGAGCCAGCCAGTAGAAACTGTGGTCAACAATATCTGCAGCTGCCAAATGTCTTCATGGTTTTTGATAACTGTTTGGAAATTTTTCTTCATTAAAGATATGACATTGCCCATAAAATAAATTCAATCAGGTAAACCACAGCCAGATGTCTAAACTAGTTTAGGGTGAAACAGAAAACTCCATCTTACTACATCATCTCACCCACAAAAATACAACTCAGAGATTTCATGGATTTATTAACTGAAATTAGTCCTAAAGTAATCTTTTTTACATTGATGGAACAAACTGGTTCATATACTAAGTAAGTAGGCTAAAAACAAGCTACAATCTGCACACTTTATTAAGCTTAGTCATTTCTAAAGATAATGCATTATTGTCTTAAGATTCTAGGAGTTCCTGTAGATGTAGTTGGAATCAAATAAGGAATAAAGCAAGTTCTCAACTCTAGAGGTGCATACTCATTGTCTTTCTGCCCTTTTAAGCTCTGTAAATCATTCCTGAGCAGCAAGAGAATGAAAATGAAATTCTGATCATTTTATGGAAGTTTCCCTGTATCTCCAATTTTTATGTCATATTCTCCAGGTTCCCTGGAGAAGGGAGTAGGAGTCTAAAGATTTTAAAAGGTGTATGTGAATAGATGAGTGCTCTTTGTCTTGGTCTGTGTTTTGACTGTTATTATGTTGCTGTTTTGTGTTCATGTCTCTGAAAAGTTTAAGTGGTACTGGTACCTGTTTGTCTTTCATTATTGTCCGTTTTTGTCTACTGACTTGACTTTCTTTGCTGTCCTGGAGGAGATGAGACAGACAACCTCTGCCTCTAGCCTCCTGTACATTTTTATTGGATCATTTCCAGGATTTAGCATCCCAAAAGTAAATCTTCTCTAAGGAGAGGCATGGCAAGGACCACCTCCTTTTGTTGTTCTCTGGCTCACAGCCAGCCAGCAGCTCCTGCAGAGGGCAGGGGGTGTCCATGCTCAGGTGGGCAGTGATGCTACAGGGAGACACTTTCACGCGAATGGGGCGGCAGGGAATTGATTACTTGTAGTTGAAAGCCTGCACGGATGCTAAACAGAGAATCTGAGATTGTGGCCGGAGAAGTTAACAATTGTTTTTTTTTCAGGAATCCTGGCAGTCAAGGACACTCTGTGCCCACCAGCACTGCTCCCCCTCTTTTCTTTTCTAAGCCAAGTTCTTCTTCACTGTGATAACACTCAAGGTCTCTTCTGCTGGCCAGCAATTTCTCATCTTAACCCTTCTCTGTCCTGATACTGCTTGAAAAAAATGTTGAATTATACCAACCTGTGTACTTTGGAAAGCATTGATTTTAAAGTAAAAGTTATAGATACATTGTGTTTGGGAAAATTATGCTTTTGTTTTCATAGGAAAAGAAAAATATATGTTTTAATCATTTAGATCCAACGGGGTAGAAATACTTATTATCTTTAAAGGAAATTGGGTACAAATTATTATTGATTAACATAGAAAACTGTTGCTAGTTTCAAAAGTTTCACATTGGTACAGGTTTTTATGTCAATACAAATTTAAGTTATTCTGTTTGTGATACATACATATATATTATATATTTTGGCTCTTGTTTGAAATGTACCTATGCAATGTTTTGGACTGCTGGAAGAAATCATTTTCTGTTGGCTCGCTGTATATTGCCTTTATCATATTTAGGTATGTTCCTTGTATCTCTGCTCTCTCAAAGACCTTTATCATGAAGGGATATTGTATTTTGTCAAAAGCTTTTTTAGCATCTAATGAGATGGTCATGTATGTAGTTTTTTTTTTCAGTTTGTTTATATGATGGATTACGTTGACAGATTTTTGTATGTTGAACCATCCCTGCATCTCTGGAATGAAGCCAACTTGATCATGGTGGAACATGATTCTGATGTGTTCTTGGATTCGATTTACCAGTATTTTATTTAGTATCTTGCATCAATGTTCATGAGTGAGATTGGTCTGTAATTCTTTTTCTTAGTAATATCTTTGTGTGTTTTGGGTATCAGGGTAATTGTAGCCTCATAAAAAGTTTGGCAATGTTCCTTCTGTTTCTATTGTGTGGAACAATTTAAGGAGTATTGGTATTAGCTCTTCTTTGAAAATCTTGTAGAATTCTGAGCTGAAACCATCTGGTCCTAGGTTTTTAGTAGTTGGGAGACTTTTGATGACTGCTTCTATTTCTTCTCACTGCTGGTGAGGTAGACACAGATGAGGATCATTGACTGGCCAACCTAGCCAACTCAGCAAATCCCAAGTCCCGGAGAGAGATACTGCCTACTGATGTAGGAGGGTCTTTTATCTATCTGTTGCTTTCATTGGTTAATTAATAAAGAATTAATAAAGGTCTGATAGGTCAGAACATAGGTAGGCAGGAAAGACAGAACAGAATTGTGGGAGGAAGAAAGCAGAGACAGGAAGACGCCATGGAGCCAGCTGCCAGGTCAGACACACTGAAACTTTCCCAGTAAGCCACGACCCCACACAGATTACTAGATATGGGTTAAATAAATATGTAAGAGTTAGCCAATAAGAGGCTAGATATAATGGGCCAGGCAGTGTTTCAATGAATACAGTTTCCATGTAATTATTTCAGGGCATAAGCTAGCCAGGTGACCAGGAGCCGGGTGGCAGGAACGCAGCCCACTGCTCCTTCTACAGCCTACGGTTGACCTCTGGCTTCCACAAGCATGTGTAGGCACCTACACACATGTGTACCCCTCTCCCAACACAAAGAACAAGATTTTACTGGTCATATTTTATTTCAAGTGCTTACAGTTTTCAAACTGAAGTATATGAAAAATGAATACAATGTATGGGACTATTCATGCCATGTTAAATGTTAAAACAGTATTTAAAAATACTAAAATTTAACTACATTTCAAATAAATATATGTACATGTTATGTTAACCATTAAAAGGTTTCATTATTATTTAAAAACACTGATATGAATGTCTCTTAAATATATAAGTATAAACCTATTGACTTTTAAAAAGACTAATTACTTTTCAGACTTTTAGCAAAGCAGTAAAAAACAACTAATCTTGTACAAATGTCTTTAGGTACCAAAACCTATCAGAACTCATACAGCACAAATATTGGCCAACTACTTCTGCCCATGTTAGGTCAGAGGAACTGCTGCTTGAGTCATTCAGACAGCGGAGATCAGCTTTACAGACCTTAGCTTTTTCTCGCAGGCATCCTTGGGGCAAGAAGAAAGTCTACAGGAATGACAGAACAGACTCATTCTGTTTAACTAGGGCCTCCTCTGATGCCCTTGCCTTTCGATGTAAAAATGGACTAACACAAATGTATAGGGAGAGGTTTTGAAGAAAAAATTGGATATCCCAAGGGAGGGTCAGCGGCTTGAACGGTGAGGTTCCTCAAAAGGAGTGGGTGGGCTTGGATACTGTAACGCTCTTCATCATCGTTGGTGGCATAAAGCAGTTCCCATGAGAGATTGGCCCACTGACCTCGAACAGCCTCAGCATTCAGCTTCCCGATGTGGACCGGGAGCTCCTGAAGCACCAGGACTCTCGCAGTGTAAACGCCCTGGAAGTGCAGGGAGGGAAGGTTAACAAACATAAAGCAAAGCTGCCCACCACAGAACAGTAGGAATTGGCCTTTTAACATACACAGGGGTTGCTTAGCTTTTGAATTAAGAATCACCCATTTTCTTAGCTCTCTAAATAAACATGAGAATAAAAATGTCACTTTATTACTACGACAACAAAACTGCAGTTACTTAGTCTTTTATGAGTCTGACCCATCCATCATGTCACGTGGCACGACACAACTGTAAATGTTAGTGGATAGAGCTGCTATTTTCTCATTGATATGACTAGATACAGGATAAAAAACAATTTAAGAAAGGAAGAGTTGGGGCTGGAGAGATGGCTCAGTGGTTAAGAGCACTGGCTGCTCTTCCAGAGATCTTGTGTTCAATTCCCAGCAAACACATGGTGGCTCACAACCATCTATAATGAGATCTGATGCCCTCTTCTGTCCTGCAGGCATACATGGACATAGAGAACTCATATGAATAAAATACTCAAACAAATCTTTCTGTCTTTAATCCCAGCACTCAGGGAACAGAAGCAGGTAGATCTCTTGAATTAGATACTAGCCTGGTTTATAGAGTAAGTTCCAGGACAGTCAGTCAGGCTACACAGAGAAACCTTGCTTCAAAAAACCAAAAAAAAAAAAAAGGTTTGTTCTGGCTAAGGTTGAAGGATGTCTTGGCAGCAGGAACATGCCCAGAAGTTTGTTTCCACAGTGATTCTGTTGCCCATTAAGCTGACAATCAAGATTAATCATCACAGTGGACAATTGTTCAGCCAGGCTCCATTTCATTAAATTTTAGTGAGAAGTAATTTGATTTCGGCACGCTTTGCTCATCTCAACTGTTAATTTATAATCCGAGGTCCCTTGGGCATCACAGGGCACAGTCACTACCACAGTTAGTCTGAGAACAGTTCTCATGGCCTCAAGAATAAACACTGTGTTCCCAGCTGTCACTTGCCTCGCTCCTCCTTCTGCTCCGCTAAGCAACCACAATGACTCGACCTGTTCAGTTTACGGCCCTTGAAACTTGAGCTGTCCTTTGTTTGTTTCCATGGCTACGAACATGCCATAAAATGCCCATCATCTGTTCTTGCATAGCTGGATGGCATCCACCTCTTAAGCCATTAAGAACAACACTACAAACATGGGTGTACAAGTTTTTGTGTCAGCCTACGCTTTTGTTCCTCTACAGCATCAACTGCAGGATCATACAATCGGTCCATGAGCAACTACTTGAGAAATTACCTGACTATCTCTCAAAGTGACTGTATATTCCCAACATCAGTGTATAACGGTTCTAATCTCTTCACATCCTTGTCAAGACTTATTATTTGACCTTTAATTTTAGCCATAATTGTACAGTAAAATGTTTTTCTCTAGGGTACTGCTCGAGATCAAGCCCAGAGACTTACACATGCTAGGCAAGCAATTTTACCACTAAGTCACATACCCTAGTCCTAATTTTATTATAGTTTTGAATTGGTTCCCAACATGAATGATATAGTACACTTGTGTGTGTGTGTGTGTGTGTCACTGTGTATCTTCAGAGAAGGGTATGTACAGCTCTTGTCCATCTTCGATCAGGCATACTTACATATTATAGTAACAAACCTTTTATGAGATATGTGGTTATTTTTCCCATTCTGGGTTGTGTTTTCACTTTCTGACAATATCTTTTGAAATATAAAGTCTATTTTTTAAATACTGTTTTGCTTTGAAGCAGGGCCTCATATAGCCCAGGTTAGACTCAAACTCTATATTCTGTGTAGCAGAGGATGATCATGCTCTCTCTCTCTGCTCTCTCTGTCTCTCTGTCTGTCTGTCTGTCTGTCTGTCTGTCTGTCTCAGGTTGCTTTGCAGCTCAGGTTGGTCTCATACTTGTGGCAATCCTCCCCCCTCAGGTTTCTAGATCCTGGGTTTCAGAAGCCACGAGACCAGCAAATACAGGACTTGTGCTCTTTTTCTGCTTGTTTTGTTTTTCCTTTTCTAATTCTGGAGGTTAAACTTAGGGTCTTGTTACATGAGGTGAACATTCTACTGATGAGCCATTTCCACACTTCTGGTTACCCTATCTATTTATTTTCTTTCTTTTTGATACAGGCCTCACATAGAATGAATAAGAATCTGTGTTACAGTCATGGATAACCTTGAACTCCTGATTCTCTTGCCTCTATCTCCTAAGTGCTGGAGTTACAGAGAGGAGGAGGGCGAGCCCTGTGTTCTTGGCTGTGCCAGTCTAATGCAGTTCCCATCTCACTGAGAAAGGAGGCAACAGGATGAGCTTCAAATGCTGGCTTCTTGCTATTTTTTAATAATGGTTTTCAATACAGTTTTCTAAACTAATGTTTCCTTATTTGCTATATGCCTTAGGGTTATACACTTTCAAGGTAATTTTTAAAAATCATTTTTGTTGGCAACATATACACCGAATTACTTTTATTCTTGCCATGGTGCTAGACAGACCTAAAACCCAAAATAGGCTCATAACATTCAATTTTCCATATTGTGTTCAATAAAGATACATTAAAATGTAATAAGAACAAGAGTAAGTATTTTTAAAAGTCCTCTATTTGAAGAAGCTCTGAACTATCAACGGTTGAATGTGATTCAAATGAAGCATATATGTCAGCAAAAGAAGTAATTTGCCACCCACAAGTTAACTTCTCTTCTTGGGGTTAGAACTAAAGTGGTAATTCTTACACTTGAACTGGGCATAAAAAAAACCTACAAAGTATTTTATCAACTATACTACAGCAGATCACACACACTAGCTGTCTTATAGATCAGCTGTTGTGCAGTAATTACTCAATATTTTCAATAGCCCCCTATTTGGCTGCCAAAAGGAAATGAACCAGCTATTCTAGATTACACTACTGGATTACACAGTCATAATTATGAATGCCTTGCAACTTTCGTTAACATTATCAACAGCTGGAATGTCATGCCATTTATCAGTTCAAACACTCTACCTTTTCCAAACATTAAGGTTTATACATGGAAATGACTTACCATACTAGACTCATACCCCAGGGAAAACAAGCATGGCTTTTCTCCTAGAATTGCTTCCTTCCACTGCTCTTCAGATACCAAACCGATGTACCAGTCCCTCTCGTATTCTCTGAGGTAGTTGGTCAGTTCTTTAAAGTCTTCTATTGGACCCAAACTTGCTTTATCAACCATTAGTTTCAGTGTATACCTAAAAAATGGAAACCCAAACAATTTCAGAACATTTATAGTAAACTTTACAGAGGCAAGGTATTTGTTGACTATTTTTAAGTCTCTGAAGTGAAAGCATCCCATGTTAAGCCAACACTAGTTGTACATTTAATGGCCAGCACGGAAGAGGTGGGAGCACGGTGACCAGGTCATCATTCCTAGCTCTCCAGAATGAGCTCCGGGCCAGTTTGGGACATGTCTCAACAGCCAGTCTCTCCCAAGATAAAATCATCCATTTCAGATAAAAACTGAGGGACATGGGGCTGGAGACAGAGCTCGGCTGCTGTGTACTTGCCTAGCAACAACAAAACGTGGGTTCAATCCCCAGCACCATGTAAGCTAGGCCTATAACACTAGCACTCTGGAGGTGGAGGCAGGATATGCAGGTTCCATCCTCAACGCTGACAGAAACAAACAATCAAAAATAACAACAAAACCCCAAACAAACAAAATGAGGGGGACATGCAATCAGCTGAAATGAAGGCATCCAGGGAGTGCAAGGAGTCATATTTTAAAAATTCTCTAAACAGATGGGTGGTGGTGGCACACGCCTTTTAATCCCAACACTTGGGAGGCAGAGGCAGGTGGATCTCTGTGAGTTCAAGGCCAACCTGGTCTAGCACAGACAGAGTTAGGGCTATGTGGAGGAGTCCTGTCTAAAAAAAAAAATTCTCTACACAAAATCAGAAATGTAGAAATTAAATTGTTTCTAACTCAATCATACTATAGACCAAGTCTTTTCTTTATTTTTATGAAAGCAATAAAAATTATAAATGCAAGAATCTTCTAGTGAAAAAAAGGAATAACTTGTGTATAATCAAAGTGAGTTACCTGAATGCTTTCCGAACTAGCTGGAACAGATCTGGCTTTTCTGAGAGCCAATCCAAGGCACCAGAGCAGGGTAAGCCACCATTGTAGACTCTTACTATCTGTCCAGGACTAGGTGCCACGTTGTCTATTCCAAACAGACCAATATAGCACGCCATCACTGTATGGACATACAAGGCCTTCAGAGCTTTATCCTTTGCGATGTCTTCCAGCACACTTGACTTTTCTGAGTGAAAACATTCCAATTGCCTTAAAACAAACTGATACCAGTCTTCTGGAAACAAGGGGCTTGCCTCCCTTATTCTGGAGTGTGGTGTACAGTTAGATCTCCATTCTTCAGGTAAACTTAGCAAGTGCGACTGTGAACAACTGAACTCCACGAGAGGGATGTATGCCACGTCTTCTCGCTGGCCCTTGTCGACAGCAGGGAAGCCCAGTAAAACCGTCCTAAAAAGATCATTTTTGGGACCTGTGCTTGAAGAATGATCATCTGCACCCTGGGAGTCTACTGACCCTGGAATAGGCAGAGTTGTACCTGCTAGATCTTTGAGCTGAAGTTTTTCTTTTCTGTTTTTGATTCCTGGTTCATCATCAAAAATATTATCATCAGACCAGTCATGGAAAGTGTCTGAATTTAAACTGTCTGAGTCTTCCAGGGATTTTGGGCATGGTGGAGTGTTCAAGGCAGGCAGGGCCACCGGTAAGGCTCCGCTGGTCTTTTCAGTTTGGTGACTATTCTCCTGAGTGCTGGGCCTTTTAGAACAGTACTGCATAAGCACCCACACGAGCACTTTAACAAGGTCACCTCTGAATTCCTTCAAATTTTCATGAGAATCAATGATGCCAGATAGGACACTCCTGGCATCAGAGTACAGCTTCACAGGCAGAACAGTACACGGGGTCAGGACATTGCCCAAGTGCTCATTAATTTGTGGGCCTTCTTGCTGAAAAGCACTTCTAAACACTTCGTCCACTCTCTGGGCTTCAGCAGTGTGGCAAGATGTTTCCTGTAATTCTAACCCCTAAAGAGGAAAGAGAAGCACTTGGGTTCACAACTGTCTCTCACCCAGGGAGTGCAATGGAACTCTGGTTTCCAGGGGATCTGATGCCCTCTTCTTATCTCCGTAAGCATCAGGCATGCACGTGGGCACACACGCAGGCGAAATATCCATACACATCATAAAATAATAAATTTTGAAAAAGACTAGAAAAGAATGTCGGCTTTTGTTACATTTTAGTATGCAATCAGCACGAGCCAGCCATCAGCATGTGCTTATTATAAATACCTTTAGAAATCATCTGGGATTTTCATCGGCTAAGATCCGCTTCTTCCAAGCTAAGTAATAGTTTGATGTGTACATAACAGGGAAAATTGTACACATGCCCTATAAAAACCACTGGGAAATGTTCAAGTGTTACTGACCTTCACATTAACACAGCAGTAAGGATAGCCACGCTCTAAGACCATTATCCATATTAGACGATCCTCAAAACGGCCCAAGTAATGAGAGCCAGGGAGGAGGAGACCTAAAAGAAATTAGAAAAGGGAGGGGGGAAAGGGAAAAGAAATAACTCTCTGAGCTTGTTTTATTTTTTCTATGAACATTTAAAATTAAATATCTAGACCCCTATTTCAATGACTTTGTCCATCACTAGGTCAAGAATAGAAAGGAGAACCCACTGCCTGTCATGAGGTGTCTAACCCTTAAGGAACACTCAGAAGAGACAACACAGAAAAACTTAGGACATGTTTGTCAGAAAAATGACCAGGTGGAAACTTTGGAATAAAATGCTGCCATACATCAGGCATTAGGGAAAGGATGAAAAGTAGGCCAGCCAGTTCCACAGTGATCGGAAAGATAAACTAGAACAGTGTTTATGGCTTTGAGATTTCTACAGAATTTACATCATTTGTGATGTATGGCTATTTTTAAAGCTGAGGTCCTCTTTCAACACAGTCCTCCGAGACTTATTCATGCTGACTGCAACCAGCTCCAGTTCATTCACAGCCGCTGGAGGCCACTGGATGAACACAGCTGGATCTAAGATTCCTTTCCTTAAACAGTTCCGGTACTTTCATGTCTTTGCTATTAGAAGTAATAGTTGTGGGACCTGGGTTTTGTAAGTCTCCTCATTTAGCTGTGGGACTGATGGGTGAACTCAGCAGGGCTGGCTGCCATCCTCTGAAACGCCTGCTTGCAGGGACTCTGAGTGGCAGCTGGAGAGTGAGGACCTTCCTCTGTTGTTCACGCTCACGGTTTGTGCAAACAGCACACCTGCTTTCCTTGACAGGTCTCGTTCTGGGATGTTTGAGGCAGGGTGACTCACACAAGCAGCTGGCTTCCTTCTATGGACGACCCTATGGCACCCGTCTGACAGAAATTCATCAGAAGCGGGTGGAAATTCTAAGCAGAAAGGTGTTTCTAGGCTTCAGTGGCGAGCCCGTCACCTGAGTTAATTTAAGCAAATGTTTTCCTTTTAAGCTGTCAAATCACCCTAATGAAATTTTCCCTAAGTATTTTTATTTTATAATTTAACCTCCAAATAAGCAGCAGAGATATAATTCCATCTGATATTTAGTCTCTGCCTACATATCAAAGTACTAGCACCTGTTTTATGGTTGGACCAAAAGGAATTTTTGCTTTTTGTTCTTCTTTTTTTTGGTACCTCAACTGTATGAGTAAGAATTTCCTGAGCACAGCCCACCACTCACCCAAACTTCCTGCTGCCATTGCATCCTGCAGACTTGCGGTCAAGCTGGGGATCATCTGGTGGTAGAACACTGTGTCTGTGCACACACAAGCTGTGCTGCCCACTGCTTCTGGCCAGCTCTGAACTGGGCGAGGAAACCCCACCAAGAAAACAGGAAGGGTGAAGAGGGGCAGTAGAGGAGCAGACAGGAGCGCTGCAAGGACTATGATAACCAACACAAGGGGCGCGAACACAGCGTTGAGGACACACAGAGTGGTGGTTGTTCTCCTGTGCTGTTTTTTTTCTGTCCACGATGCCAGAAGCACCGTCACTGCAAACTGCAATTTAGTGAGGAACTGAAGCAAACGGTCCCGCATGATACCAATCTGTGGATAAATAAAAATTATTATTTGGCTTAGCAAATGCCTTATGAATTCAAAAATCACATAAGGAAAAAACATAATAATTATATTACTGCCTCAGTATTTTGAGGGAACAGTCCTAGCAAGCCATTCCTTGTTATAATTTTGTGCAACCTCAAAATTAATAAATAAGAAACTACACTTGTAAGTGTCTACTGCCGTGAAGAGATACCATGACCATGGTAACTCTTATAAAAACAAAACAAAACAAAAAAACATTTCATTGGGGCTGGCTTACAGGTTTAGAGGTTTAGTCCATTATCATCATGGCGAAAAGCGCAGGCAGACAGGGCGCTGGAGAAGTCAAGAGTTCTACATCCAGACTGGCGGGCAGCGGGAAGAGAGTGAGGCACTGGGCCTGACATGAGTATCTGAGACCTCAAAGCCCACCCCTTCCTCCAACAAAGCCACACCTACTCCAACAAGACCACACCTAATAGTGGTCCCTATGGGACCACTTTCCTTCAAAACATCACAATAAGTTTTATCTTTTCTTTTCCTTTCTTTCTTTTTCTTTTCTTTTCTTTTCTTTTCTTTTTTTTTTTTTTTGAGGCAGGATCTTATGTAGCCCAGGCTGGCCTCAAACTTGCTATGCAGTTGAAGATGACCTTGCACTCCTGCCTCTCTTGGCCTCCACCTCCTGAGAGGTTAGGCAGACAGACCCCTGCTGGCACTAGCTGGTTCTGTGTACACTTGGAATCTTTCATGCAAACACATCACTCCACCAAGGAGGCTAGTAGTCAACCCAAGTTTGGTCTTAAAAAAGCTGGGCAGTGGTGGCATACTCCTTTAATCCCAGCACTCGGGAGGAAGAGACAGGCAGACCTCTGGGAGTTCGAGGCCAGCCTGATCTACAAGAGCTAGTTCCAGGACAGGCTCCAAAGCTACAGAGAAACTCTGTCTCTCAAAAAACCAGCCCCTCTCCAAACAAAACCAAAACATAACAACAATAACAAAACTAAGTTATACTATATCACTTAAATCTTATGGGTAAATAATTTCTCACAAGCTATTAAATTATGTGACTAGGATAAACTATAGGAAAACTGACTTACTGAAGCTAATTGAAGAGGGAAAAGACTAGATTGACAACAAAAGATTGAATTAGACTACACTGAATTAACTAAGACTAAACTCGTGTTTTATATTTGAAATATAGGTCTGCTAGTTAGAGATACTTCATTTCTAAAATGTAGTGCAATTATTAAAATTTATGACTCAACATGATGTAATCAGCTAAGTGGTATTTTGAGTTACTGCTATTTTTTCAGTTAATTAATTTTCTTTTTGACAATTTTATATATGTACAAATGCATTCTGATTACATTCCCACAATCCTCTCTTATCTCCTCCCATGCCATCAGCCCCAATTCTTCCCTATAAATCTTTACCCCACAGTCACAACTTTTGGTTTTGTTACCTGAGTTTCATCTGGGACATCTGTGTGACACTGAGTTTGGAACTCTCCACTGGAGCCTGATGGACTTGCCAGTGGGCACACAACTGAAAATAATGACTTCCCCAACTATTCACACAGAACAGCTAAGTTTTGGATGCCTTCAATATTATAAAATACTATCAACTATAAAACATTTAAATATTAATATTTACTGGATATTATAAAACATTAAGAATGATCACTACCAATCTTTTTACCAGCTCTTCCCAAAAACATAAGTGAATGCAATACTTTTAAGTTCATTTTCCATGGTCCTGATATGTAAACCAGACACTATCACAAGGAAAGGTAGCCACACATACATGCATACACATGGTGTAGATATATATTTTGAGAACACAGGTAATTGGTATTAGCCAACTCAGTACCACCCCAACAGATGAAAAAGGTTGGACTGCATGACCATTTAGGAATATAAAGCTGGTTTAGCAATCAAAACCCAACACATCACACTACATAAAGAAACACAGAAGCAACATTTGATAAATCTAGCCCCTTCATGATAAGAACACTTGCTGAGTCATGAAGGGCACTCTCTAAGACAGGGAACATCTATGTAGGATGCTGACTGATAGAAGACTGACATATTAATGAAGGTTGAACAGGTTCCTCATGAAATGCCTGCTTTTTCTCTTCAAGTGAACATTTTCCTGTTTCCCAACATAAAACAAAACAACAACAACAATCACTGCAAGATGTCACTTTACACCATGAATATGGTCATAATAAAAATAGCAGGTAACAAGTGTTGGTGAGAATGTGGAGCAGCTGGGAAAACCTCATATACTGTTAACAGTGTATTTCCAAAATGGTAGAGTCAGGCTGGAAAGCAATGTGCCAGTAGCCTGAAATGTGAAAGGCGGATGACCAGATTTCTATGTATCCATCCATCCATCCATCCACCCACCCACCCACCCACCCACCCACCCACCCACCCTATCTCCATGGGAAATAAAAACACATCTGCACAAAAATATGTATATAAATGCTCACAGTAATATTTGTCAACAGTGAAAACAGAAACTTAAACATCTATCATCTGATGGGTGTATGAAGCAAGCATGGTACATGGACACACTGGAATGTACTTGACCACAAAGAAGTACCTGTACATGCTATAGGAGTGAACCTTGAGAGCATGCTAAAAACTGAAGAAAACAGGTAGGGACCACACATCCTACGACACCATTCAGGTTATTGATCCAGAACCTGGAGGCTGGATCTGGAACAGATACAGATGATAGGAAGGGGGGATGGAGAACACAAGCATAATAACATTAATGGAAACATGTGGAATATTGAAAAGTTAGATTGCAATCATGGCTGCATTTCTCTGAATATATACCACTGAGTAAAAAGCCTTCAAATAGATGAGCTTTACTGTGTGTAAACAAACAAACAAAGAGCCTCTTGATATACTCACCAATAGCAGTCTAGTTCCCGTATCAAGGCTCCTGTTCCACCAGCAGTCTGTGTCGGACACCACGTGCACTGCCGATACGATCACAGTCTCTAGCAAAGCGTTTTCTGTGTTCTGCCACACCTACAGAACATAAACGATCCACTTTCCTCAGGTAGAATTTGCTAATCTAAGCAAACTGTTTCTAAAGACCACCATTACACTCAGGCCCAGGGAGTGGCATGCAAGGCATTCTGGGATTACCGTTCTGAAGGCCCTGCTGAATCCCACGGAGACAGACACAGAGTGTAGCCCGTGTAAGGAGCTGTCCAGTGCGAGGAAGGCCACCATAGCCAAAGGTGATACTAGAGCAAAACAGACAAAATCGAGGCGAGTTTGATTACTGCAGAATCTCCTGCCACACTTTACCTTGGTAAATTGCTTTCAGGAGTACATTCACTCAATGAACAAACTACTAACACAAGCATAACGAAAACGAAACATAAAGAGCATCAGGCATGCTACATACACTTGAGGGTTCTTTTCTGACGACCCTTTGTAAGAGTCAGCAGACTGTAACTCCTACCTAGAGTTAGCAAGATCCATCTGACAACCCCAACCTTCAGGAGCTTCTTTTGTTTCTTGAAGAATAAAGACACAGCTTGTACATCCTTCGGATAGAAAGGGTTTCGGAAAATTCCAAAGACGTAGATGCTTTGAGTTTCTCTCAGTATCCACAGTATTGAAAATAGCGCCATCAAAACATAGCCCACGATGGACTGAGCGCTGCTTTTGGAAATGGGTGAGAAGCTGGTGTAATGATGTAGCAGTCCCGCCTCCAGGAGAGCCACGCCCAGCATAGCCACGCCCAGCAGGCATTCCTTCCTCCCGAATCCAGATCCACAGCAGCCTGGGAAAGCCTCACAACTGCTTCCCACTCTGTGCCTGAAGGCCAAACTCAGGTCACTTAGGTTAAGACTCAGTAAGAACCCAAGTCCAGTCATGAAAAGAACCACACCAACGGTGCTGGGGATGAAGTAGGACACAACGGGCGTTCCAGCAGAGACGAAGAACATTACCAATAGCCTGCAGGAAAAGAAGGCAGAAGATTTACTTGAAAGGAATCTGTTACTAAGAATTGACCTCTGACCAGCAGGATGGCTCAGGGGGTAAGGGTGCTTGCTGCCGCTGTCCTGAGCTCCATCTGTAGAGCCACAGGGTGGGTGGAAGGAGCAAACTGACTCCCGTAAGTGCCATGGTAGCCATGGGCACTCACCTCCCCACACCACAATAAATAAATAATGAGAAAGTGAAAACAGAAGTTACATCAAACTTCAAAACGTAAAGCAACTTACCGTAGGTGAGTCGACATGGGTGAGCCTCCGAGACCAAACTCTAAAACCTGCTCCACTGCCCAAAAGAAAAGCGCGTCAGGGGGCGGCAGAGTCCCAAGTGCCCACAGGAAAGGCAGTAACACAAACAAGATGTGCAAAATCTGATTCATTTGCTCTAGAGCTGCTGTATTTATAATAAACCTGTAAGAAAGAGAAAATACTTAAGTCATACGAAGTACAAATCGATCCACAAAATAGCACATATCACAAAGCAAGTGTCCAGGAAAGGCCCTACTCCCAGACAGCTGCGTCCTAAACCAGCAGTCTCCTCAGCTGAGCACAAGCTTTACAGATGTGTGCATTCAAATATGCAAAGAAAGAAACTAATACAGCCATCTGTAACACTGAGTGCAGAGATTTTAAAAACGGAATACATGAGGCTGGAACACATTCTCCCCCTAAATCTACGTTAGCTGAAATCCTACCAGTGATTCTTCATAACCATAAGTAACTCTGGAGAGCTGAAGCTGTAGGAACATGCACTTAATGGCAGTTCCCTTCTTCTCTTCGCTCTGCCACTGTCCCTCTCAGACTCTGAAGTCACTATAGATAACAGCAGTGAGCAGCTTAGGTGATGACAGGTCACTGGGAGTTTGACTAGCATTAATAATACTCTTCTGTTTTAGACCAGTAATGTTATGGATTTAAGACATATTTGTATAATACAGTCTCCTCAGAGCAAGGGCAGGCCCCTCTTAAAATGAAGAAATTGATACTCAGGAAAATATTTGGAGTTAAACATAACAAAACAGATTTAAATTGTTTAATAAAAATTCAAAACATGGGAAACCATTCTCAACCTACTGCTAATTTTTCAGAATAAACATGATCAAACACTATGTCAAGGGGCTAATCAGGTGACAGGACTCATGGAGTAAGAGAGACTTTCAGGAGAAAAACTAAGACCCAGACGTACAGCAGGATTGCACTCGAACACCTGAGCTGTTGAGAATCACAGACAAAGGCCAGACTTCCGCTTACAGGGTTTCCAAGTCTGTAAATTACCGAATGCAGCAAGCACACGGTAACTATCACTATAGCCATGATCTACACATGTTCACTCAAGGGCATGCCTGGCCTAGCCAGTCACACACCGCTTCACACTCTGGGTTCTTCTTTCAAACTGTTGTAAGTAGGAAGCAAACAAGCACAAGGTTAATATGCTAAATTAGAGGACCCTCTTTCCGGTGCTGGAATTGGAAAGAAAATATACTCCATTCTGAGAAGAAACGCCCCAATTAACAAAAAGAATCAAGCTACACATGACAGCCTACAGGTGGCAAAGGACACCTGGTTAGTCTGTTTTCAAGACAACCTTCCTCTCCAAAATACACCCGAGAGCAGAACTGCATGAGAATAACCGTGCTCAGGAAATGTTTTACAAAATCAAGTTCTATTTTGGAATATTTTTCTTCTTAAAAAGCAACGTGTTAGCAACAATATTTATCAGATATTATATACAATTATGATATTATATAAGTGAATGTAAACATATAATTAACCAAATACTGATCATTCTGCTCCACACATGACCTCCTAAAGATGGTTACTATAGCTAATTACTTTATATGGGAAAGTATTTAATGTTTCTGATAATGTGACAGAAATTTCCTAGGATTAAAAAAAGTTTTGAGATTATAACTATAAAAATAGAGGACTACTGAGACCCCAAGAACAATAGCAATGGGTTCTTTGATCCTACTGCATGTACTGGAAGGAGGTGGGTGGTCCTTGGACTTCCCACAGGGCAGGGAACCCTGACTGCTCTTCGGGCTGATGAGGGAGGAGGACTTGATTGAGGGAGGCGGAGAGAAATGGGAGGCGGTGGCGGGGAGGAGGCAGAAATCTTTAATAAATAAATAAATTAATTAAAAAATATTTTAAGTTCTTTACACCTGAAGATCCACTTGCCAAGAAATAAACCATGCCCACACAGAGGCTAAGAGGCTATCAATGTGTACCATTTCCTCAGATAAATCTCGTCTCTGAGGTAAGCATTGCAGATTTAACACTTGCTTTCCATAATATAAAATTCATGGAGAGCCATTTACCCTTATCACAACATAGAAGGGAGGAGAGAAAAGGTTATTAGGGGCTGCATCTCTTCAGCCTTCTCTGCTATCTTTAGATAAAACTGGAAACAGTTTTGCTATGTTTTGGTTCTTCAGTAAGATTTAGCTACTTCTTTATAATATGAATATTTTATAGCGATCATTCCAAAAGGGATAACCCAAGTATCGCAATGGTTTGGTCTTAACTTTTGATTCGCTGACTCATCAGTCAACACTAAGAAAAGTTCTCTTGCCAGTACATGCAGAAACAAAGCAAGTTATTAAGTATGCTCTACGTTCTTACCTGTGTGCAAGGTCCACCGAAACAAAGAAGAAAATGTAAAGTGGTCGCATGAGAGGAGTGATTTCGTAAGTATCCTGGGTCTGAAATGTTGCAGTCTCTGTGGCCGTGTTTACGATCAGCGAATATTCTCCTATGCAAAGTGTTATCCACCCAAAGACAAAAAGCGCAGCGGTCGCCCCAGGGCTGCCATACAGCAAGGTTATTCTGTTTGGGAGCAGATACCATGTTCCAAGACCACATACCAACCCAGCAAGGATAGAATGAAAAACTGTATTGGCGACGTATTTTTTTCCAGGAATCAGAAACTTCACGGTCTCAGCGCCAGCACAGCTTGTAAATTCGTGTTCGTCCTCCTCTGCTAGGATGTCCCTGGTTATCACCCTTTTGACCACCACAGATCTGTTCTTGGCATACAAACTTGTGAGCTGGATGACAGATGCCGTGATTACCATGAGTCCTCCTGAGAGAGCCGCTGCCGAGTAGTCTCTCAGGATGTCCAGCTGGTACAAAAGTGTTCCTGTTCCACCTAAGGCCCATGGCATCAGGAAGAGCACAATCTGATTAACATATATGTAAGGAGGGGCGCAATAGCCTAATTTGAGTCGAGGGCCTCCAAGAACAGTCTGTGGAAAGCGCTTCAGCAGGAAGTCCTGTTTGTAATCATTTAGTAGAGGAACATCTGGACTCATACTTCCCATTCACGATTGGTCTGAAAGTCACATCTTTTTCATAATCAGAAGTATCTATGAAGAAAAAACAAATGACCATTTAACAACACGATCCTGAAGACCTGGAGGAAACAGCCCATATTTCTACCTGACTTCCCTAGTTCCTTTACAGGCAGGGTTTCTAACCTTGATTCCTTCTCAACCTTACAACATAATTGATACTAAGTTTGTTCTCTTCCCAAAATAATCATGCTAACTTGCTTTCCTAAGAAACCGTATTCATGGGCTGTGTGGTGGTGCACGCCTTTAATCCCAGAACTCAGGAGGCAGAGGCAGGTGAATCTTTCTGAGTTTGAGACCAGCCTGGTCTACAGAGTGAGTTCTAGGACAGAAATTTACTTTCTATCATAACCACACAGAGAAGCCCTGCTTTGGTTATTTCTTCTCAAAGACAATAAAAATCTTAAGTACCACGTGCAGTGGATTAAATTCACTTGTCCTCAAGAGCTTATTCTGAAAGTAAAACAAAAATAAAAACCAAACAACAAAGCCAGTTGCCTGATACTAGATCAACTAGAAAAATATTACTTCAGTGGATCATCTGATAGTTAAGAAAACTTACAAGCCTTAAAATAGCCTTTAAACTAATCCAACTAATCTGTGTCAGGCAGTGCCTGTTTGTTGCACAGTTAGGATGCTCTATAAACTATAAATATCTGTGTTCTTACAACTTCAGTCAACTGTCCTTCGTCCTGTGCAGAACCATGCGTAGCCTTTACCAAGTACAGCCTGGTCCATCACAAGATAATAGGGCAGCAGAGTGATACTGTAGTGGTTTGGATGAAAATGGCCCCTGTAGCCCCATAGGGAATGAGTGGCACTATTAGGAGCTGTGGCCTTCCTGGAGGAAGTGTGTCACTGGGGGTGAGCTTTGAGGTTTCAGATGCTCCAGCCAGACCAGTGTCACTCTTCCTGTTGCCTGCAGATGTGGATACAGAACTTTCAGCTCTCTCTCCAGGACCTTGTCTGTGTACATGCCACCACGCTTCCCACCATGACGATAATGGACTAAACCTCTCAACTGTAAGTCAGTCCCAATGAAATTTTTTCCTTTATAAGAACTGCTGTGGTCATTATGTTTCTTCACAGCAACAGAAACCATAACTAAGAAAGAAATCAGGGACTGGGGTATTGCTGTGATAGGCCTGAATATGACTATGTTTTTGCTTGGAGGAATATGGAACACTTGAGGACTTTGGACTAGAGAAGTGATTGGACACTTTAAGCGAGATTTAATGGGACTTATTAGTAGTGGTGCTGAAGGTGATTTGAACTGTGGGGGCATGGTCAAGAGGTGTCAGAGAAGAATGTATGTGCTCTAGAGATTATTCTAGCTATATTTTGGCTGTTTTCTGCCCTTGTGGGAAAAAAAGTCTGCTTGAGGCTAAATTGAAAAGTTATGGAATAACAGCTTTGGCAGAGGAGACATCCAGACAGCCTAGTATTAACTGTGTTGCTTGGTTATCAGTGGCCATGTTTATGCAGATCTATAATGAAAAGGAGCAAGCTGGGCAAGCAAGCAACTTGAGGAGAAAAGGGGCACCAGGAACTGTAAAAAAAAAAAAAAAAATTAAAGAAAATCCTGATTCTGAGTGGAATGAAGGGAGTGGTGACTTCAGATCCCACATAGCTAAGCTTTCAATTTGTGAAGAGGAATTAAAGAAAAGTTTAGGGCTGGACGTGGTGGTGAACACCTTTAATCCCAGCACTTAAAGTCAAAAGCTGGTGGATCTCTGAGTTTGAGACCAGCCTGGTCTAACAGTGCAAGTGCCAGGACAGCCCAGTTTAGGCAATGACGGAAACCATTGAAAAGAGAAAGCTGGTAAAAAAGAATTTGAATGAGGGGGGGTATATATTCCAGTCCCAGCAAGCAGAACTTGGCAAATTCATCCACACGGTTCTGGCTTTAGAGTCAAGAATACCAGAAAGGGATTATAGAATCTCCTTCTACAACTACAAAAGGCCACGGAGGTCAGGCATGTGGCAGGGTGTCCCTGAATGGAGGCCAAGAGAAGCCACTGTGTGAAGCTCTGGATTGCCTTGGAGACCCCAAGATGTTGGAGATGCCAGCTGCTGATGGAGCGGAGCTAGCCCGAGAGAGAGAGAGAAGTGTGCTGTGGCCAACAAAGCTCAACGGGGCTGGAGGTCTAAAGAGCTCTTTGGCATCACACACGGAGATGCAGAGTCTGGAGTTTGCCCAGCTGGCTTTGGTCTTGTTTTAGTCCAGGATTTGTTCATCATGTTCCCTTTCCTCCCTTTTGGGATGACCATGTACATTCTGTGCCATTAGACATATGCCATCTGCTTTTTCATTTTGATTTCACTGGTAATTATAGTTAAAAGACTGCATGAGTCTCAGAAGAGACTCGGAAGTTTGGATTTTCAAACAGTACTGATACTGTGATAGACTATGTTATGGCTACAAGCTTGTGGGGGCCAGGGAGTAGAATGTGATGGTTTGAATGAAAATGGTCCCCAAATGCCCACAGGGAGTGGCACTATTAGGAGGTGTAGCCTTGTTGAAGGAGGTGTGGCCTTGCTGGAAGAAGTGTGTCACTGGGGGTGGGCTTGAGGTTTCAGACAGTCAAGTCAGGTCCAGACAGTGCCTGCTGCTCACCGTACAACTCCCAGCTCCTCCGCAGCACGTCTGCGTGCATGCTGTTATGCCACTCGCCATGATGATGATGGACTAAACCTCTGAGCCACCCCAATTAAATGTTTTCTTTTATAAGAGCTGAGCTCACCACATCTATTCACAGCAACAGAATACTGACTAAGACAGGAACCTTAATACTCTAAGGTTCTTTCTGCACCTTCCCCTCGGTAAAAGCCTATCTGCCTCAGTGACATTAAGTGTGGCATTCTGGAATAGTCTCCTAGCGTCAAAGGGTTAAAGGTCACACTCCTGCAGATGGGGTAAACATGCTAGCATGAGTTATCTATAGCAGATGCCACTAGTCAAGAACATGAACTTCATTGGACGGTCAGGACTTTAAAGTCTGAAGTATCTAAGTTTTCTCTATGGAGTTAAGAAAACTCTCCTCTTGCCCCATGAGAGGAGTCAGGAAACAAGAACAGAAAAGTGAAACCATATAAAGCTGGTTATTTCTGATCCCAACCACATTGATTTTCCCTCCAGTGATGGAGGTGGGTCTTGTAATAATAAAGAAACTGCCTCGGCCCTCATAGGACAGAAAATTAGGTAGGCGGAGTAGACAGGAGAGAATGCTGGGAAAAAGAAGCTGAGTCAGAGAGGAGTCGCCATGATGCTCCCACTCCAGACAGACGCAGGTTAAGATCCTCTCTGGTAAGCCAGCTCATGGGCTACACAGAATATTAGAAATGGGTTAGAACAATATGTAAGAGCTAGCCAATAAGAAACTGGACCTAGCCGGGCCAGGCAGTGTTTGAAAGAATACAGTTTCCGTGTAATTATTTCTGGGTATAAACTAGCCATGCAGGCGGCCGGGTGCCGGGGACGCAGCCCTGCCGCTCCTATTTCAACACTCCAGTAGTTCTGAACCTTTTAAAATACTCAACTGTCAGCAGAGAAACATGGAAAGACCTATGTGAAAACAAACACAGCAGAGTACCTCAGTATGCAGAACTGTGTGTATGTTAATGGCATTGCTTAAGTAAGATGGGTCAAGTTGAAAAACAAGATACCTTCCTGTTCTAAGGGAGGAATGCAGAGTTTGCCATTTTTGAGCCTTCTTGCATTGTATTTTGTTCCAATCAAAATATTAAATTCATAAACTGCTTGCTCCCTGTTTTGAAACATGGAAGGTATCTCTTTTTATGGAATAAGTTATGATTGCTATTGATAATATTTTTGGCTCAGGCAAGACTCTGCCTAAGAAGGTTATCCCAAAATAACAAAGCAACAGGATTGGGTGTAAGGGAGATTACACAGTTAGCTTTCTTGTGGGCAAGAAATGGCAGGAATAAGATGTTACAAAGAAGTACAACTGTAATTCCTTCCTTAAACTATACTATATTTTAATCTCTTCATCAGGGAAGTGAAGACTTCATATTTCCTTCAGGCAAGGAAATATGGCATACAGATGTACACAAAGAAAAAATTATGAAATCTGATAGGCAGAATGTCAGACATAAAAACTGATTTAAATCATAAATATTTTTAAATAATATTGTAAAGATTTTAAAAGTTGATGTCTATTTCCTAACAATTCATGATCACTATGACAAAAAGTATATAATAAGCAGTCCCGTTAACTTCTAATTTTTATTCTAGACCATAGAAGTTTAAAAGATTTAAGAATTTAAAATATCTTTTGAGGTACCACCAATTACATTTATGTGGAGAAATATTCTAAATGCTAACCTGGATTATTTATAAATATAATCAAAACTAACCTCATTCCCTGAAAACAATCTGGCATATGCTTCTGAAGGACGGTAGGTCCCCAGAAGGGCAGTAACGTTCGTGTGGCCCCTACCTCTAGCATGCTCAAATAAAAATAGCTCAAGCCTGCAGAAACAAAAGCTGTGATGAAGATGGCCCCACAGCACTGATGTGGGCCATATGCTCGCTCCATATGCTACTTTGAAAGACAGCCAAAAAAAGCAGACTCCGAGACGTTGCTGTGTTTGGAATCTGAGTCACAAAGTTCCCACAGGGGTAAGGAATGGTACAAACTGGCAATCTGCTGTGAGGGAATTCCTAGTTAACAAAGCTACAGCTCAGCAACCATAGGATACTGACTAAAATTCCTTGGAACAAAGAAAAACACAACAAAAAGTAGTAGTTTGAATATGCGCATGTGCACACACACATACATTTCTCTAAGGCCAGAAGAACAAACGAATACCTAAATGGCATTTTTGGCAATTGTCTGGATTTCATTGAGTTTTTTTTTAATCTGTCACATTATTATTCTATGAATACAATACTCTAACATGCTCCATTTCAAAAAATTTGAAAGAAAATATACAAAAGTTTTACTTTTTCAATGCATTTACTAATTTTCAAAACAAAACTTTATGATCAGTATAGAAATAAAATGACCCATACCAGTGTACTCAAAAACCATGAAACAACTCAATTCTCCATTTCTTAGTAGAGTCATCTGCCACCACTAGAGCGGTTCCCAAAGTACAGAGACGTGGAGAGTCGGCTGGTTTGGAGATAGTTCAGTGTAATTGCCGAGTGCGCCACCTGGAACCCTGAGCTACAGCGGCAGCTGCCAGTCTAGCTCTGTCCATGCTCTGGGGATCCTAGCTGGATGCCACACCATGAACAACTCTAAACTCTTCAAGGGCCCTTTAAACGACAGACATTTAACGGGTAACTATAACGCACACACAGTGCAGGGAATAACTGTACTAAAGACCGAGAACCAAGGAAACTGACAACTAAGACACAATGTTAACTAGTGACAAACTAAGTTTTTGAGTCATGCCAACTTATTGTCAAACAAAAGCAAAGTTTGCTTTGCGGATTCTTGAATGTGGACTTGAAAGGAATGTGCAAAGTAAAACCTGACACTAAGCCAGTGTGAGGGCACTGGCACCTCACTTGAGGAGGAACACTCAAGAGTCCCTCACCATCAGGGAAGGGAAACAATCTACAGAAGGTAAAGGGTTATAATTAGAGATTTGCACTTAAAATACATAATGAATTCTTCCAATCCAGTGATGAAAATACAACTTGACTTTTAAAAGATGAACTAGGAATAAGAACTGACAATTTCTGGGTGATGGGCCAGATGGAGTTGGGAATGAAGCTTCATATAAGGAAATGCAAACCAAACCTACCATGAGATGCTTTGAATTCCCTTGATTGGCTGAAGTGAAAATGAAAGACAAAAGCAAGAATTGGTGAGGTTAATTTAAAACCTCAAATGTATCTGGTGGGGGTGTAAAGTGGTACCAAGCCTTGGAAAAATCTGGCAGTTTCTCAAAAGGCTAAACAATGGAATTATTAACATGTGACCCACCTAGTCCACTACCAGGCATTATATCCAAGAGAAATGAAAAAATGCCTACACAAAAGTGTATGCAAAATGTACACAGTATATTATTACTGGCTAAAAAGGGAAAGAAAACCCAATGTCTATCAGTGGCTAAATGGATCAATAAGAAGTCCATCTGCATAACAGACTCTTATAAGATAACAAACAATAATGAAGTAACACAGCTCCGACATGGGGAACGTGAACACTCCTCTAGGTGAGAGAAACTAGTGCACGCATTCGAAGCACATATTCTAAGGTTCTGTTTATATGAAACACCTAGAATAAATCTGTAGAGACAAAATAGACTGGTGGTTGCATAGAACTAATGTGCACAGGAATATCAGGGTAAGTAGAGAAAAAGCCAAAAATACAAGGATTTTTGTTTTTTGGAGGTAATCAAATAGTTCCAAAATTGACTGTAGTGATGGTTGTGCAATTCTGTCGATATATTTGAAACCAACAGTTGTATACTCCAGGCAATGAGTTGTATCTCAAGGAGGTCTCTATAGAGGAAGATGAAAAAGTTCCCTGCTCAAGATTATCCACAGCAGTTAATAACCAACGGGCATCTATCTATCTCTCTAGGGAGAACAGGCAAAACTTGTAGAGAGGCCCCAAACTTAATTAGTGAAATGGCAGTATCTGAACTGGATGCTGTTGAGAAACGACGGGTGACAGGGTGTCGATGGGAACGGACAGAAGTGTGAATGTTCTCTCGAAACGCAGGAACTTGATGGGGAAAAATAGTGAAAAATGAGTCAGGGGGAAATAAGAGGCCCAGCAGATAATTCAGAGGCCTAATCCAGAACAAACGGGAATGGGACTCATTTAAGTAAATTCTGGTCTCTGGAGAGAGAAAAACCTGAGAAACGAGCTATACTCACCCAGGCGGCCAAAAATGAACAAATTTGGGGCAAGAGGGTTTGAGACGGAGAAAACCAAGAAATAGTGAACTCTACCTAAGGGGCACAGGTTGACTTTGATAAGGGGAACGTGCTCAGCCCTCATCAGGGCCAAAGGGCCACTCTCCACTTCGCAAGGCCTCTCAGAGGAAAAATGCAGCTCCACGGGCTGCAAAATACTCTCAAACAAGTTAAAACCACACCGGGTCGCTACCTCTATCAACACAGTTCACCCTGGACATTAAAAAGAGCAACAATTCCATTTAAAAAGCGGAAGGCGTTTGTTGTGGTACTCAAAGCTGAAAGAACCGGGTAGTACCCAGGCGTGGAAACTAAGGCTGTAACGAAGTCCCAGGTATCTTTAGGACGGACATTACCTGGAGTCGCCCGAGGGGAAAGGCGACGCGAGGGCGTCCCGGGACCACATCTCCCCTGGGGAGGTCGGTTGGGAGCTCCCGCCCGACGATGGATGTGGCGGCACCAGCAGCTGACCCGGGGCCTCCAGGACCGCTCGCGTTTCCATGGCTAACATCAACTGCGCTCGCGCCTCCCAGAAGGCAGTGCGCACGCGCGCTCGGAGGCGGGCCCGTGCGTCTCGCCCCGCCCCCGTCGCCGTGACCCTGCGGGAGGAGGGTTCCTGTGCACCGAGCAGCAAAGCCCGGTGGGCGGTGTTTCTTCCCTGCGGGACCGAGCGGGCCTAGAGCTGCGGGCTTCGCTGGGACCCGCCGGCCATTCAGGTCTTTGAACCTCCTAATTACCACCACTGTGTTCTCACCCGGGCCACGCCCAGACGCAGGAACGTGGTTGTCTCGGAGACGAGACGTTCCTGCTCTGGGAGCTTCAAGGCTGGATAGATGCTCGACCACCATTTTGGTAGCCTAGGATCTCCAAGATTTGCAGACTGAAGTGTGTAATAGGAATCCAGTCTGCTAGGGTCCTGAGACCTCCATTAATGACCACAAAACTAAGGTCATTCTAAATGCTTTTAAATGATTCTATGTGCCCTATTCGACTTAGATTTGAAACCAGAATACCTTTGTTTTCTTGCACCATAACACTGCCTTTTCCCGTTTACAAAATGAAAGTTCATGACCACAGCAAGTCTTGGTTCCAACTTACCAACGTGTGACTACTTTCGAATCACATACTGGTGATTCTCAAAACATTTGAAACTTAATGTGTGTATTTGTTATATACACGAGCTCAACTCAAAAGTTTTTACTCTTTTTGTTTGTTTTTCGAGGCAGAGTTTCACTGTGTTGTGTAGCCCTGGCTGTCCTGGATCTCACTCTGTAGACTAGACTGGTCTTGAACACACAGATCCTCCTGCCTCTGCCTCCTGAGTGCTGGGATTAAAAGCGTGTACCACCACCATCCGGCATGTTTTTACTCTTAATTGTATAATATTTGGGACATTATCAACTATATCCTTATAACAGTGAATTTACCAGAGACAGTTTTAACTTATTATGTTGTGGGTTATTAAGTGAACAATAACATTACATCTAAAAAAAAAAAAACCAGCATGCATATTATCTTAATTACAAAACACTTCCTTGGAGACCTGGAGAGGTGGCTCAGCAGAATTCTTGGCTCTCAGCTAGTAGAACTCCAACCAGACTCTGGAATGAAAGGCTTCTTTATCTTACCCTGTCCCCTTAATTTTCCCTTTCTAGTTGTCTCAAACCTAATTGATAAATGTGCTTTGATAGTTCTACAGATTTGTTGATTTCATTTTTCTTCTACTTCTCCAGTCTCTCCATTTCTTGAGACAAAACAGTGTTGTATTTAAGCCAGCTAATAACTCTAGAACGATTTCTAAGTGTCCAAGTGAAGGGAAGAGTTGGCCATCTCTCTCTCTTTAAATCAAACGCTAGAATGACTAAGCTTGGTGAGACAGGCATTCCAAAAACCAAGATAGGCTGAAAGCTAGACCTCCTGGACCAACCAACTAAGTTGTAAATGGAAGGTTCTTAAAGGAAATTAATAGTGATGCTAGGGGAACACACAGATAAAAAGAAACATCTGTTGACTGCTGATCTTGGAGAAAATCTTAGTGGTCTGGATGGAAAACCAAACCAACTACACTCTGTTCAATTCTACAAAGGCTAAGAGGAGTAATGAAGTTATAGAAGCAAAGTCTGAAACTAAAATAGGGTGATTCACAACATTTTAAGAAAGAAGTTGTTTCTGTAACATTGCATGACAAGTGAAAGCTGCAAACAAGCAGCTAAAGGGAGTAACCTGGAAGATCTAGTTAAGATATAGAAGGTGGTCACATTAAACAGCTGATTTTAAGTTTAGAAGTAGAGCCTAGAGATGTGACCAATTTATTTTAAACCCATGGTAAAACTTCAGTGATGAGGAGCTTCATTTTAGGAATGGGCAGGAGGAATTAAATTTTCTAAGACAGGACCCACTCCTGGGCAAGATGCTAATGTGTTGAAATGACAACAAAGGATTTAGAATACATAAGTGTGCTTGATAAAGTAGTAGCAAGGTCTGAAAGAATCAACTGCAATTGGAAGAAGTCCTACTATGGCTAAAATGTTATCAAATAACATCACATGAAACCTTTTGTGAAAGGAATAAATGAGTGCAGGAAACAGTGCTGTCTTAAGAGAATTGCCCTAGCCACTCCAAAGCTTTAACAGTCACCACTCTGAACCAATCAACAGCCATCAGCACTGAGTAATCAACGACCAGAGATAACTCTGAAGGATCAGATGGTTCCTAGCAATTTATTACCAATAAAATATTTTACATTTTATTTTAATTTTAATTACGTGCTTATGGGTATTTCTGAGTATGGATTTTTGCATTTGAGTGTAGGTTCCTGGGGAGAACAGAGAAAGGTGTCATGCACCTGGCTGGAGTTACAGGTCTTTGTCAGGGGTCCAATGTGGGTACTAATTGGGAGGAACTAGTTGGGAGGAACTAAACCCAGATGCTCTAGAAGAGCAGCAAGCACTCTTAACTGCTCAGTCATCTCTCTGGTCAACCAATGAAGTGTTCTGTAATTTAGGTATGTATTTTGTTTTTATACACAATGCTATTATACACTTAATAAGCTATAATCAGATAAAACTTTTATATGTATAGAGAAACTGAGAAAGCTGTGACTCTGTTTTGACATTTGATTTACTGAAGTGGGCTATGTAGGGTAAAAGAACCAAAGAAACACACCCTGACCCTGAAACCGGAGCCAGTTAAAGAAACACACTTTGGCCTTGAAACCAGAGCAAAAACAAACAAACAAAAAACCCAAGAACAAAAAAAAACCCCAAAAACAACAAAACAAAACAAAAAAACAAAAAACACATAACACATGTCAGCCCCTTGTAGGAGTCCAGGGGTGACACAGTTTCCATCTGGAGTCATTTCTGACTTAAAAAAGTCATTTGAGCTCAAGCTTGCCTGCTCTGCTTTTTCCAATAACCTTGAGGGCTGTGAGAGATTTCTGATTAGCCCACAAGAAAACTCTATCTGTAGACTGCATACTGCTGACAACAAAACTCAGGAACATCAAGATAGAAAGTAAGGTTGCTTCCATGCAGTAAGTGTGTTAGAGAGAAGGCTGCTCACTCAAAGACAGGAATGCTCTTGTGATTAGATACTGAATGACTGTGCTGTACTGTGCTTTGTTCTGCCTTTGTATATAATCAAATTCTGAAATAAACTCTGGGCTGTTTGGCTGTTTTGGCATGACCAGACAGACTTTCTGATTCTTCCTGTCTTCTGTTTCTTTCATCTGACTTTCCTTTGGCCTTGAGGATCTCCTATCCAGGAACCCTAGCTGACTTTGTAGGAGTGGGTTCCTACAGCCCCTGACAAACCCTGCACAAAAAACAACCAATCCACGAGTAGGAAAGCCAACCCAACCCTGAGCATGAAATTCAGCCAGTCTCTGTGCTTGGACTCCAAGTTTGAGGATTGTAATCTGACCAATTCCCACCCTGAAAATCCTCAGCCTGGAAAAACTCCCCTCCCTAAGAAGCCCCATATAAACCCTAGGCTGGTTCAGTTGGGAGCTGAGGCAGTCACTCTCCTGGATTCCTCTCTCCCAATGAATCTCTTGAATGAGTTTTGGGTAAAGACTTTTTTTTTTTTTTTCTGGAGAGAAGAAATGGACCTCTCTGCTTGGGAACTTTTTTAGTGGAACTGAGCAGGGAAGTACCACTTTCTCAGAAGGAGCAAATTGCTTCCTACAGAAATGTGGGGTTTTCCCCCTCAACAGAGTGAAGCAACGAATTAATAATTTTCCCCAGAGCAGAGAAGCAATGGACATTTCTGCTGGGAAACTCCCTTGGTAGAGCTGAGCAGAGCCTGACTCTGGACAGTTATGTTACTGTTTCCTTCAGAGTTGTAGATATCGGGGATACCTCCTTTTAAAAGTATAGGTGTAGACTGTCTCCCGACAGTCAGGATGCCTTTCCCTTCAGAGCTGTAACATTTGCAGGCAAGAACTAAACATAAATTATGTACAAAGTATTTTTATATGTGGAATGTTTCATTGGAGAGGGGTCCCTTTGTTCCCCCAAATAATCACACAAAAACTGTATTCATTTAAACACTGCCTGGCCTATTAGCTCTAACTTTCTATTAGCTAATTCTTATATCTTAATTTAACCCATTTATATTAATCTGTGTGTTGCCACGTGACTGTGGCTTACCGGCAAGATTCTAACCAGCGTCCGTCTCAGGCAGGAGATCCATGGTGTCTGTCACTCTGCTCTTGTTCCCAGCATTTAGTTCTGTCTACTCCACCTACCTAAATTTTGTCATATCAACTAGGCCTAGGAAGTTTCTTTATTCATTATCCAATGAAAGCAACACACAAACAGAAGAAACTCCCACACCAGTGGAATCTTCTCTTTATTATATTTCTTTTTTTTCCCCATGAGTAGATTTGTAGCAGCATTCTTAGGTATGGAGAATGCCCATAATTGAAACATGTTACTAATGAAACATGTTATTTTATCAATAAAGGAAAATTTCTTCTGTTCTAACTATCTCCTAAAAATAGTGGATAATTTTTTTAGTGCGGCATTCATTTCATATCCATAAATCTTTACTAAGACCCACTATTCTTGTTTAAAATTTACCTATACCTTCAACATCTGCCATCCTGATTCTTCAACTTTATTTCAAGTTCTAAACATATTTGTAGGTTGCTAGTTGAGAGTCTTCAAGGTAACTTGAAGTTTTAACAATCATCTCAACTGACTCATCATGCAAGGAACTCTGATGCCAAGTTGTTGGTGTAAGGGTATTTGTGTCTCCTTGTGTGGATGATATTCCAACACATTTATATATTTGACACTCCCAAGTGGCCCGAGAACTGATTTATTTGTATCTTAACCCAAAAATTATAAATGGAAATTATTTTTTTCTCAAGTTTATATAGTAACTTACAGTAGTTTATGTAGCAACTGAGCCTTTGGGCTTTCAGAACATAATGGGATAAAAATTTTGTGCAAAAAATAAATCAAGACTTACTTTAAAAAGACAAAACATTTCTAGTTGTAAATTGTAGTTCCTGAAAACAGGAGGAAGAAAACTGTGAGGTAGCATTGATGTGCCAATATGTACAAATTAAAGACACAGTTTATAGACAGACTTATAGTTCAGCATCTTCATAGTCTAAGAGTGTAAAAGGAGATATAGTCCTGCTCTACCCACAAGGACCCATCTTTGTTGGGAAAGATAAGCTCCATCACCCCTGGTCAAGAGTACCAAGTTAATAATCTTTGAAATTGCAGTCACCTCTAAGAAGTATGAGGACAATGTGATTACAAGGAGACACTCCAGTCAGGAAGCTTAGATCAGAACTCTGACATCACTATTCATTGCTCATGGGATTGGGATTGCTTCATTTCTTTGCTCTACAGTTTCCACATCTTATAAAATAGAGACAATAGGTAATTTATCACAGAAAGGTTAAGTAGATTGAGTTAAATCATTTAGCACAGTAACTGGCAAAATTTACGTACTTATTAAGGGTGAACTCTTGTGTTTTTTTTTTTAATAAAGAGGCTTTAAAATATTCTTTATTCCCAGTAGTACTCTCTGTGACCCAACTAGAATTAACCTGTCCTTGTTGTTGAAATACCTGCTATTGACACATCTTTCTATTTTTCTGATCACATTAAATATTGCATTGTCTTAAAATAAACTTAGTAGTATATGGAACAAAGCTGTTAGCTACTATTTGTTTAATAACAGTCATCCAACAGTTATTAAAGTCATGGTTCTTATTTACCAGAAACCGCACTGATTCTTGTAGCTAAAAAACTCAAATAAAATAATATGATTCTCAAGAGGCTTACCAAAATGTATCTTGGGAGATAAACAAGGACATTTGTAGTTACAAGAATGCAGGAGTAGTACATAAAATATTCTGAGAAAACAGAGGATGGCTATAGTTCAATTATAAAAGGCAAGTTGAATTAGTGGAATAAAGATGTGACAAAGGGTGTACTCCAGATAGTACTTCATTCTTAACAATATTTAGGCCATATAGAGGTAGGTGCATTTATGTACTGCATTTAATGGTAACCCTATGAGGTATTTGTTGTTAATTTAATTTCAATTATAGGCTTCTGAATTTCAGAAATATCAAACAAATGAAGCCTGGAATTGAGCCCATGTCTGTTTGGGCTTCATGGTTCATCTAGTTTTACTACCTTGCTGATTCATCTGAAATAAATAGGTGATGAACAACATGATACAGCTGAACCAGCCAAAGATGTGGAGACATCTGTAGTTAGTGTACAGGTTTTATGTGATGGTATACTGGCAATGTCTGTTTTCAGTTCATACCAGAGTGGCAGAGGGTATAGAAAATAATGCAAAGCTGCAGAACCAGGAATAGTGGGATAAAGGCAAAAAAAAAAATGGAGAGTTCATGAAGGGCATTAGGAAACTGAGCTTTTCAATTAGAGGTACAACTGGTTAGAACGGTAAATGATTGGATTGAGTGGGAATAAGGAGACTTAAGAAGAGAGAATGAAGATGAGGCCAGACTTCAAGTTTAGTGTCTACACCAAGTCTGAGGTAACATGAAATACACAAGTAAATAAATACAGAAACAAATAAGTAAAAAAAGAAGAGCCACCCTGAAAAGAAAGATAACAAAATCAAATTGACATGCTTCTAAAGGACTTGTGGTATATTCCAGCACATAAAAGTAACTAGAAATATAGAAAACTAGTTGAAGTCTTGAGACTGGGAAAGATTGGCAAAGTATATGTGAAAAGGTAGCCAAGAAAGAAAAGCATCAGGAAAAGGAAGTGACAGTGTGACATTTATTGGTTTGTTGAAATTTACTTGATTTCTTTATATCACAGATTATGATATTTGTTTTGGGGGCAGGTTTTTACATATTATACGTCTGATCCTAACTCCCTGTGTGGCTATAGATGACCTTGAGTTTATCTTCTTCTTCTACCTCCTCTGTGGGGGTTACAGGCACCACCACATCCGGTTAATGGGGTGCTAGGGATCAAGTCTGGGGCTTTGTGTGTGCCAGATAAACACTCTACCAACGAGCTACACCTCTGTCTGATACACACACCTTTAAAATGATCACGGGATAGGTAGAATTTTACATTGTCTCATGTTGATGAGCATGTGTGTTGTGTAAGTCAAGTATGACGATGTTAAATGACAGGGAGTTAAAAAGAGTTTCATATTGAAATACCTTTCAAAATAAAACATTTCATGCCCCACAGACACACAAATGACTTGTGAAATAAGCAATAACTAGCATGATCATAGCTTTGACTTAGTTGGTTTTAAGCTTTATTCTTTTCTTTCTTCTTCCTTCCTTCCTTCCTTTGTTGGAGGCTGCTCGTTCATCTTCCTGGCTGTCCAGATTCCTGAAATAATCACACAGAAAGCTGTATTAATTAAAACACTGCTTGACCCATCACTTACGTGTATTGCTAGTTAGCTCTTATATCTTAAATTAATCCATTTCTATTAATCTGTGTATCACCATGTGGCTGCGGGCTACCAGTAAAGTTTTATCCTGCATCCAGAGTCTGTCTCCTGTGGCAGCTCCATGGCTTCTCCCTGACTTCACCTTCTTCCTTCCAGCATTCAGTTTAGTTTTCCCACCTAGGTCTATTCTGCCCTCTATTAGATCAAGCAGGTTCTTTATTCATTAACCAATAAGAGCAGCACATAGACAGAAGGACTTCCCACTCCCTTCCTTTCTTTCTTCCTTTCTTCCTTCCTTCCTTTCTTTCTTTCTTTCTTTCTTTCTTTCTTTCTTTCTTTCTTTCTTTCTTTCTTTCTTTCTTTCTGAGGCAGAGTTTCTCTGAGCTTTGGAGTCTATCCTGGAACTCTGGAACTCACTCTGTAGACCAGCCTGGCCTTGAACTCACAGAGATCTGCCTGAGTGCTGGAATTAAATGCATGTGCTGCTACCACCACCCAGTGGTTTTAAGCTTTCCTGTAAGACATATTTTATAATTCTGAAAATTTTACAGTAATTCTTGAAGAGGAGTATTACAGAATTAAAAAGATAGTTTTGGGATTTTGTTATCAGCACTCAGGAGGTTGAGGCTGGTGGATCTCTGTGAGTCTGAAACCAATCTGGTCTGTATAGAGACTTCTAGATCCTCTAATTCCTTTTCTTTCAAAGAAATTAAAAATTTATTGGATAGCTCTTACATTTCACTGTCATTTGCCATCAATGACTTTTTTGGTGGTTGTTATTGTTCTTGTGTTTATGACAGGTTATGGTTCAGATGGTTGTAAGCTCCTACCAGTCTTCCAGTGTCAGGCTCCCAGGTCCTAGGTTACAGATGTGAATCACACATCCAGCTTAACTTTTAAGGGTATTTATTATTTTGAGCTATCATTGCTAGAAATTTGAGGGGTACAGTTGTTCAGAAAGAGAACATAGAACTATTTGTATACTGAAAGCAATTACTTGTTTGTTTGTTTAATTGTTTATTTATTTAAGAGTGTCTCATTGTGTATCTCTAACTGGCCTGGAATTCATGATGTAGACTGGCTGGTCTCAGACTCACAGAGACCCATTTGCCTCTGCCTCCTGCATGCTGGAATTTAAAGTTGTGAGCCACCATTCTTGGCAAGAGTTGTCTCACTTTTAAATTAGGGTACATTTAATTAAAAAAATGTGAAGACAAGTTCACTGGACATTCGAAGTTCAATAATACACTATTTTTAATACACATTTTTAATTTATGTCTGTACAGCTAAGTCATGCACACATGAATTACAAAGATACCCTTCGTTTGTCACCTACATTGAGTTGATTATACAGACTTCAGTCTCTACCTCAGCATCAAAGACTGAGATTGGAACACCAGCATCTTCTGTTGACAGTGGTAGCAAGGATATAAGGCCTTGTTATTAATATTAATTTCTAAAGTTAGCCGGGCGGTGGTGGCACACGCCTTTAATCCCAGCACTCGGGAGGCAGAGGCAGGCGGATCTCTGTGAGTTCGAGACCAGCCTGGTCTACAAGAGCTAGTTCCAGGACAGGCTCCAAAACTACAGAGAAACCCTGTCTCGAAAAACCAATAAATAAATAAATAAATAAATAAATAAATAAAGTTAGAGCTACAGTAACTTGAAGTAGCTATCCTTTCTTGGTATCTGCCTTCTAAATTCTGCTTATAAACATGCTAGCCATTAGAGTCCTGTAAAGATTGTCTTCCCTTTTCCTTGAGATCAGTCTTCACTTGCCTAGAAAAGCCCACATAAGTTTGAAATCCTTCCTATAGTTTTTATGATGGTGATATGTTCAGGATAATATAAATATTAAACATTAGAGGTCATTCATATAGTTATTTAGAGGAAGTGAAACCACACTTGGCAAAGAAATTTTATACACAAAATTTAAGTTGTAGGCCAGAGGAGCAGTTTTTGAAATTTAGCTTGGCTGCAACAAACTTTAAAATGCCTTTCCATTTAGAAATTTGACCTCTGGAAATCTGCTGAGCAGCTCTCTCACCTGAGTGTGTAATAGCGTTCTCGGAAAGATACACTTAAAACATTTGAAAGCAGAAAGCACAACATTCCTTCAGTAGAAAATGGGTTAAATTGGACATTTTTCTAAAAGTAGCCCTTTCAGTAGCCCCTGCAGAGACATCCAGCTTGTAGTAAGTTGAAATAAATCAGTTTGCACAGTATGTTTAGATCTAGGTAAACTGGATATAAGCCTGTCTATGCTTGGTATGTGTTCATTTCTGAAGGATAAAAGGAAACTGGTAGACTTTAGCCTCTAGAGATTAAGTGGTTCTCGATGAGAAGAGGAACATGTACTTTATTCCTCTTTGTGATGTTAATAACAGTCTTTACCAAAATTTACAATCTTTAAATCATAACATTGCAAACAAGCAAAAAATACACTTAAAAAATCCCCCAAACTATGATATGATTTGCCTATTGTGTCATTGTTCAAAAGCCATAGTGGCCAGACAATAATGGCACACGCCTTGAATCCCAGCACTCAGGAAGCAGAGGCAGGCGGATCTCTGAATTCTAGGCCAGCCTGACCTACAGAACAAGTTCCAGGACAGTCAGGACTCCAGAGAGAAATCCTGTCTAGAAAAGCCACACACACACACACACTATACTTAAATATATATATTCTCTCTATGTGTGTGTGTGTGTGTATACATACACACATATGTATGTATCCATGGTGGATTTTTATTTCCATAATGATACTTTCGTACAGAAAGCAATTTTTCTTAAATAAAGACATAATTATAGCATTGACAGTTTCATAGGAAGAGGAATTCTGTATTTTTGGTGCTATATAAGTTACTGGCATACCAGTAACTTGGAGCCTATGGTGATCAAGATTGCTTAGATCCTGGACCAGTGTACAGTGAAGTGTTACATCAGCAGGTCATCCTCTGAACTACTTAAAAATTAATATTTTACTGAAAAATGAGTAATTCTCATTTATTAGTTTTCAAATGTTGCATATCCAGATATTTACCACATATGCAAAATATGGATAACATTGTATTTACACAGGTACATATGTAAAACATTTGCACATATGTAAATATATGCTATACATAACATAAAAAGTAAAATACATGGGAGTCTTCTTTTGTTGAACCAAAAATGAGTAAGTATTATTAAGAAAAGTTTTCATATGCAGCTTGTCTTTCGCAATATAATTAAAAAACAATTTTAATTAATTTATGTTGAGGTTTTATTTTATTGGAGTTCCTTTTTAGGCTCTTAATTTGAACAAAAATCAGAATATAGAAATGAATATTGGGTAACTATTTTAATTAACTTTATGATTTATTTGCCAACAGGAAACGTTTACTAACGACATGTTAAGAGTAAATATCAACAAGAGATTCAGTTCATGTGCCGTGTGGATGGTCAGGATCTGGCCTAAATGGGTCGTGAGGGGCAGCTCACCTACAGCCAGAGGCATGAAGGCCGCACAGCTACTACTGCCGCATCTACAAGGGCTTTCTGTTGGACTTGGAGAGGCCAGTCTTCCTCGCATTCTCAGGGTCAAAGACTTCTGGGATATCATGGGGTCAGTAGTCATTACATGGGGGCAGCGTGGTTCGGAGGTGGACTGGACATACTTGGCCACACAAAGAAGATGCATCCTAATACCCATGTCTCTCAGCTTTGACCAAGGATGAGGAGGCTGTGGCAGATGGTTGCATATCTTCATGGCATCCGGGAAGGGGTCTTAGACGAACTGCCCCATCTCCAGGACGACCCAGCCGTGAAGAGTGAACTCCCTTCTCAATCAGCTGCTTGCTATGCACGAACTTCTGCAACACCGGCTCTGCTTCCTTCTTTAACTTTTTGTCTTTGAGTTGATCAACCAGGTTCAAAGTGTTTGTAGAAGAAGCAAAGCCAGTTTCTGAGTCAACGATCAGTTCCAAGGCCTCTCCAAACAGATCCAGTTCGTTTTCTGCAAACTCAGCGGCCCTTTGGAAACTGAAGTAGCAAAATTCACCAGGGCACAAACCGGTCTCCTGCTGCCTTCAGGGTCTCCTTTGTCCCAACATACAAAGACTCCAAGACGATGCTGATGAAGTTCTCCAACTTATCTACAGTGCCATTTAGGTCATGAACCTTGTCACAGTGGCGGCAATCACCTAATCTCCCACTCCTATAGCACACATTAGTCAACAGCACTGATGGAGAGCTGATGGCTAATATGGACACCGCCACGGCGTCCACTCTTCCGCGGCTGCCCTGCTTGTGCAAGGGAGCGCATGCGCCTAGAAGCCTGCCAATGGCTTAACTAACTTTAACATTTATTAATCTCAGCACATTCCCCCAAACTCAGGCTTTTATCTGCCTCATTTTCATGTGGTTTACAAAATTTACAAATTAATTTACTAATTAAAATTAATTTTTTTAAACTCAAAAAAACCTTTATTGATTTCAGGCTAAAAACTAGATACTTGTTTTTATATAGACATCTGCTTTCTAATATTTAGTAGAAATTGTTTAACTTGTAATACGTCTTTAAAAAATGCTTAAATGTGAGGCGAACTCATCCAGAGGGCGTTTTTGTTACCTTTTCTACTGATGCACAGAATGCAAAGTATTTGCTGCGTGTCTTAGTGAAGAACCGGAACAAGAACCTGAAGCCGATTTTTTCCTCTTTTGTTTGACATCTGAACTCTATCACTGCCTCCTTCCATTCTTACACAAAAGCACCCCCACCTGACAGCATCTGGAACTCCATCCTCTCTGAGCCATCTTCCTTTACTAGACCAGCGTTTTCCTCACTTCTTATCAACCATGAACCAAGTAACAAGAGGGTTTTTTGGGGGAGGGGTATTGTTTAAATAACGAGCACGCACACTTTAGTCAATAGTAAAATGATGAAAATTTTAGA